AAAGAAAGAAAGAAAGAAAGAAAAGTCAGGCTTCAGAACATTATTACAAATGAACATAAAACATTAATTTTAATTTTTAGATCATCTAGGAAAATTGGAGAAACATAAAGAAAAAAAATTATTTTGCCTACTTTTTAAAAAGCACACTACTGTTTTTTGGGAAAAGGAAGGTTTTTCTAGTGTTAAGCTTTAAACAAAACATCCTAGGTCCGTACCAAATGCTCTGGATGCTTTCTTGACTCTAGTCCTTCACCCACCTAATGTTAGGAAATCACACTGTTTTTATGTTTAGAGAGAATCTGACCTGTTTTATGCTGTGCCTCTTATCTGTGCCACCAAATTCATTTCAACAGCTTCATAAAGGATTACTCTGCTTCTCTACTTTTGTAGTTGGTCAAGCTTATTCACAAGTCCCAGCTTTGTCATTTACCACATCTTTGGATCTTGGACAAATGACTTGTCCTTTCTGAGACTAGCTTTTTCGCTTGCTCTGTTTACTATTGTTTATCCGGTGCTTGACACATCAGTGGGAGTTTGATAAATATTTGTTGAATCAAGGAATACACCTAACACAAGTTTAAAAACTCCTGATACATGGTAGATACTGAATAAATAGTGGCCACCCTCATTTTTATTAAAGATTTGGGTTTATTTTTAATTTTTTGAACTTTATGAGTTCCCAAGAGATGTCTGTTTAACATGTATCTCTCATTATCTTTCCTCCCCAAGAAGAGGTATGCCCCATTTTATTCAGTGTTGTATTATCAGCAATTAGAATATTATCTGGCACATTTTTAAAGCTCAAAAAATTTTGAAATGAAGCAAAAACATAAACAATGGGATACAGGTTCTTAGAATGACCAGTATAGGATATATGCTACAATCAGTCTCTCAAAATGATGCACTTACTTGCATTCTTCTAGGTTTTTTAAACTCTAAGTAAAATAGTGCATGGAAAAGTCTAAGTATATGCATAACAAATGCTCTGTAAAAGTTGGTTGTTACCATCATTGTATTTATACCATCATCATCATCATCATGGTGGTCATCATTCCCTTATCTTTGTTTTTCTAGGAAGAGATATACTAGAACACATACTAGTTAGCTTTTATTAAATTTTAAGTTAAACTTTACCTACTATTAAATATCTATATTAGAAAAAAGCCACGTACATTTTCCTCTAAGAATGGTTCTTAGAACGTTATTTATTATGTTGCTTTTCATCCTTCTTGGCAAACACATTCAGGACATATGTTTCATGAACAAGAAGGTATATTTTATGGGAATGTTTGTTTTCTCACATATTCCTATACAAGAGTCAAGAGTTTAGTAAGATGTG